AGCAATGACATTTTAGATCTAACATTACACACCCGGCTCTAATAATCATTTTAAAAAGAAAATTCAGGAAAGAAAAGAACAAGCTGAAGAGAAAGGACCAGCCCTAAGGCTCCGAATGTTTTCCGGACATTTCTCTTCACAGTGTCTTTCAGGAACAAGAAGCTGCCATCTCAGGAAGCTGGCTCATTTTCACTGTCCTTGTATCCCTGTGTCCTTATGTTATTTGTATCCCCCTGACGCTCCTTCAGGTCTCACTCTCAGAGTTCAACACCAAATGCTGTGAGGGAAGGGTGCCCTTTCTAGCTGCTTCATGCTGAGAAGGGGATATCTATGCAAGAGAGAAGGGATTCTTATGAGGTGGGATCTTGGGCCCACCCAAAGGGCCATGGTAAGATTCTGGTGAGCAGTGCATCCTGGGCTTCATCTGCAGGACCCTTTCATATATGCATATGTGTATATTTTAGGAAGCTTCTACAGTAGTAGGTCTCTGTATGGCTTTTCTAACCGTCTTCAATGTTATTAATCCCTCCCTGTTACACCGGTCTCCTATACTGCCCTCCCATCCTCCACCCATTTAACCCTCCGTGTTCTATTATTCTCCCTTCTCCCTTCATATTACCTGCATTTTATCTCCCTTTCCTTGAAATAAACACTCATATCTCTTTTAAACTTTAGTATTTGTGCTTTGTCGAGATGGTTTTGTTTAGCTCAGGCTGTCCTTAGACTCTTGACAATCTTTAAGCCTCAGCCCCATACCAAAATTACAGGCATGAGCCACTATGCCAAATTTAGATTTTTTTATTGTTACATTTTATTTAGTGTGCACGTGTGTGGGTATGTATGTATGTCATAATGAGCCTGTAGAAGTCAGAGGACAGCTTGCGGGGGGATGGTTCTCGCCTTCCATCATACAGGTCCTGGGGACTGCACTTATTTTGCCAGCCTTTACCCACTGAGTCGTCTCCCTGACCTCTAATTTGTTCTTAGTCTTCTCCCGTATATTACATCCTGACTGCAGTTTCCTGTCCCTCTTCTCCCAGGTCCTCCCCTCCTGGATCTACTGCCTCCTCCATTTCCCTGCAGAAAGGGGCAGGCCGCCCAGGGTATCAACCAAACACAGCGTATCAGGTTGCACTGTTCCCACATCCCCCTCAGTGTCCCCCAGTTCCAGTCATCTCTCCCAGTACTCTCCCTCCATCACCCCCTTCCGCCAGACCCCCCCTGTTTCCATCCCCACCTGCCCCCAGTCTACCTGCAAAATCTGTCCTATTTCCCCAGGGAGATCCATGTGTCACCTCCTTGAGCCCTCCTTGTTTCTTAGTCAGAGGACAACTTGCAGGGCTTAGTCCTCTCGTATGGCTTATGGGCATCAAACTCAGGCCTGTGTGGCAAGAGCTTTCACCTGGTGAGCCATCATCGCCAGCCCTGTTATTTATTATTTGCTTTGTGATTCTGAGGATCACGCAGACTCCCATACATTCTGGGCAAGCAAGCAGTCTAACACTGAGCCACCTCTCCAATCCTTAGTATCTATCCTCTAACAGGAGACAGAGCAACCTGTGTTAGCCTGAAGCCAGAGTTCCCAGGTGCACAGTTAGTCTTGACCATGTGCAGCTGCAGCAGGCGTAAGTGTAGACGGGCCTTTGTCCCATAGCAGTCTCCCAAGGATGCACGCTGATTGTAGGAAGGTTACAAACTAAATCAGAGCCGCCTGTTCCTCACCAACCACACAGTTACCCGAAAACCACCTTCTCTGTTCCACACACCAGCCCTGCTGGGGATGTATTTCCCCAGACTCACCTGCCACTGAATTTCCCTAGAAGTAGCTCTTGTACATTTGTAGGGAGCTGAACTTGATGTTGGACCAGATTTGTTGTCTATCCTCCCTCCCCTGGGATTCTTCACTCCATTAAAACCAACAGTGCAGTGCCCCTTCTGTAACCAACTAGGTGTGTGCATCCTACCTGTGTTTTCAAAACTAAACAAGGGTGCTGCATGACTTTAATACCAGCACTTGAGAGGCAGAGGCAGTCAAATCTCCCAAATCTCCGTGAGTTCGAGTCCCATCTTGGTCTACAGAGCGAGTTCCAGCACAGCCAGGACTGTTACACAGAGAAACCTTGTCTGGGAAAAACAAATAAACAAAACAGAAGAAACAAAATGTTATTTACAGATCCACAGATTTGATAAGTAAACTTTCATTAAAAGCTCCTGGTGTTAACTGCCGAGCCATCTCTCCAGCCCCAGATACTTTTTTAAATAATTAAAATATTTTATTATTACAATTATTTGTGTGTGTGTGTGCAAATGCATGCACTCACGTGCACATGGATGATGGTCAGAGGAAAACTTGGAGGAATTGGTCCTCTCCTTCCACCACGTGAGTCCCTGGAATTGAATTCAAGTGCTCAAGTTTAATAATGGTCAGCAACTTTCTCCGCTGAGCCATCTCAGAAAACCTCAGTTTGGTTCCCACACACACCTCAGGTGGCTCAGAACTGCCTGTAATTCCAGTTCCAGGAGATCTGAGGCCCTCTCCTGACCTCCACATACCTGCACATGTATTCACAAACCCACCCAGAGACACACACATAGTATAAGCAATAAGTCACCAGGCATGGTGGCACATACCTTTTAATCCAGGTATTAAGGAAGCAGAGATAGGCAGATCTCTCAGTTTGAGGCCTGGCAAGAGCAAACTCTTGTTTGTTTTTGAGATGGGATATCTCTGTGTAGCTTTGGAGCCTGTCTGGGAACTGGCTCAGTAGACCAGGCTGGCCTTGAACTCACAGAGATCAGCCTGCCTCTGCCTCACGAGTGTTGGTATTAAGAGTGTGTGCCACCACTGCCCGAAGAGCAAACTCTTAAAGCAAACTGTAGACTTGGTTTATATGTCCATGTAGATAAATGGATTTTAAGAAAATGAACCATTGTGAGATGGAGATAGTGGGGGAAATTGTGTCTCTGTGTGAACAGGAAATGTATTGAAACTCTGTACTTTGTAAAGTTTACACTCAATTTGCTATGAACTCATAACTGTTTTATTTACTTACTCATTTATTTGTTTTCAAACTTTTGAGAGAGGTTCTTGCTGTGGATCACTGGCTGGCCTCAAACTTACGGTTCTCATATTTTGGCCTCCTACATTCTGGGATTACAGGTAGACATCACCACACCTAACATAAAACTGCTTTTAAAAGAATTTGGTTCAGTCTGTGAGCCCCTATGAACCCTGGTTAGTTGATTCTGTGGGTTTCTTATAGGAGTGGCTCTGACACTTTTGCCTGCTTTGGGGACCCTTTTCCTCCTACTGGGTTGCCTCACCCAGCCTTAATATGAGGGGAGGTGCCTCAAGGTGATATGCACCCTAATATTTGAGGACAAGATGGAAAGACTAACTCCATTCCCTGAAGAATTTCTTTCATGGCTAGTGTCAGAGGTCAAGATTCTTTTTCCACACATGGGACTGGGAGAGACTGTAACCTCCAGGATTGTCACAGCCCCAGAGTGGGTCAATAGGATGCCTGCCATATAAACTCCAAGGTCTTAGAAATTGGAGGCTAATATAGACAAACTATGACAGTCATGCCGGGCAAAGTTGTCATTAACTTTTTAATAACTCCAACTTTTCATATCTGTATTTTAGTATGTGTAAAAGTGTACTAGCATGCTCTCATGGAGAGGACGGTGAAGGGTTAGTGTCGTGAGGCAGATGGCATACTGGACTGTTTTCCAACTATGTATCATTGCACATAATGTGCCCTTTGCCTGAATCACACACCCTTCTCCCCCTTACTAACCAACTACAATACTCCTACTCATTTAAGGTTCAGTCCATACGCCATCTCCTCCAAGAAACCTCCTTGATCTCCTGAGCTGGGCTGAGTGTTCTGTAGCAATTCTTGATCGACTATGTCCTTCACTGTTACCATACTGTTTACCCTGAGATCAGGGTTATATCTTCATTATGTCTTATCCACCTTGGTGTTGTCAGTGAGGAGCAGGAGCCCTAAAATGTGGTAGGAGGTCAGTCAGACTTTGTACTGCTATTCAATTAAACCTAGTGTGCTGATGTTTACTGAACTGATATTGGCCAGGAGAGGGTGGTCTCTAATGGCATGCTGCATGGCTGTGCATACTAGCATTTTGATAAAGTTAGTGGTGACAAAAGTATGTGTGTGTGTGTGTGTGTGTGTGTGTGTGTGTGTGTGGGCAAAGGTTGATGACTGTTAGACAACAGTATTAGTAGCCTAAAAGTCATGCCCATGCAGAAACACTAGAGCCAGCCTAGAACCAAAGGGGGTCAGGAGAAAAGTCAGGACTAAAACTTCATAGCCTGCTGCTACCTTGACATAGGGAAGAGGAATCTTTCAAGCTGAAAGTTGCCTTCTGTGTTGTTTACCTGTAGCATGGTACCAGACACTGTACACTATCCTCTCCTCTCAAGTACCACTGATAAAGTCTAATGGGAGGGACCTGCTTGGCCTGAGAACCAAGAAGCAGTGCCTCACAAGGCAAGAGAAGGGAAGAGAGCCGGGCTTTGCTTGCACAAAGTAACAGGAGGGTATGACAATTTGAGGGCTGATTAAAACCGAGCCAGTCCTGTTTGTTGGAGCAGGTAGTGTAGACTCAAGTCACAAAGAATACTGGGTTTCTTGGGTGGTGGTGGCGCACACCTTTAATCCCAGCACTTGGGAGGCAGAGGCAGGTGGATCTCTGTGAGCTCTGTCCACAGAGCGAGTTCCAGGACAGCCAGTGCTGTTACAGAGAAACCCTGTCTCGGGGGAAAAACCCACAAGGCTTTGCATGATACTGCCATTTGTGAACCTGCTACTCCAGATAACCCAGGAGTTGTCCTCCATGTGCCTTTTTACCCACCACTCTTGTGAATAATGGCATTTATGCTCCCTATCGTGCCAGTAAAGGCCTTTATGCTTACTCTACTCCTCTGAGTATTTCTGTGGACATTTTTCATATTAAATAATAAGGTCAGTCATTTATTCACTTTATTCCACAAATATTTTATTGAATGTTCACTGAATATTATTACACACTGTTGTTGACACTGGGGGCACAGCAGTAAACAACATAGAAATCTCTGCTTTGAGGTGCTTACAGTCTATTTGGTAGACACAAACACTAACCACAATAAATAAATACAAAATATACCAAGTAGTGATTGGTGCTTTGTAGAAGACATACCATAAAATAGGATAAGACACAACATGGAGAGTAATTGGGCCACTTTATATATGTTAATTAGGAAACACTTCTCTAGGAAGGTACCATTTGAACATAAAGGAAATACTTGGTCAAATCATCAGATTATTTGAGAGGAAGGGTGTTCCAGGGAGTGAAAACAGCAAATACAAAGGTCCTGGATGGAAGGTTCCTAGCATGCTTGAGGAATAGGAGAAAGGCCAGCATCGCTAGAGAAGAGCGAGATAGCAATGAGCTCAGGGAGGGAAAGGAACTAGACTGTGTAGGAACATCTGGGCCATGGAGACGACTCTGACTTCTGTACTGATGGAACTGGCGGACGTGGAAAAGTTTTGAGCAGAATAGAGGCATAATCTGATTTGGGTATCACAAATAATTTCTAAGAAGAATTTTTAATTCTTGTAGAATTACTAAGAATTAGTGCCAGGACTGTTTCACAGAGAAACCCTGTCCTGAAACACCAAATAAAATAAAATAAAAATAAAAAATAGTAACAGGTGCTTCACAATCAAGGTGCTATAATCAGTGTGCTGTGTTGCTCAGATTTGAACAATATTTATAATGTCACACTCATGAAAAAGCAAGTACTGATTTAACAAAAAATCATACTTAATAAATAGCAGATGTAATCACAAAGGTGAACAAGCAACAAGAGACTTAACTGGAGATAACTAGATAAATTAGAAAGTAAACGAATAGAAGTAACTGGATTCTGAGGAAAAAAAACAAAGAATCCAATAGTTGAGAAATTTCCAGAAATTATAAAAAAAAATCATGCTTCTACTAAGCCATGAAACACACACAGTTCAAAAGTAGAATGAATAAAGAGAAACAAGTCCAAACACGTTAGAATGAAACCACAGTACTGCCTGCGCACCCCACTCAGAAAACAAATGAAACCAAACCACGACTAGACTGACAGTGTGCTTTTTAAAGGCAACAAGGCATACGTCTCACAGCCAAAGAGAACGGATACGTGTATTTTAAAATTGTGCAAATTCGTCTAAGGAGAAAGATAAAGCTTTTTACATACAACAAAGACTGGTGAGTTTAATATCAAGAGATCTGAACTAACAGAATAAACACTGTATTCACAATGAAAGAAAATGATGGCATTAAGGGGGTCTGAGATGCAAGAATGTATGCATGTAAATCAGAACAAATACTGCCATTCTACATAAAATAATACAGATAATACATAATTGTGAGATTCCAAAAGAAAAAAACAAAAGCCAAGGAATAAATTTACATACTTGAAAACAAAATCAAGTGGTCAGGAGAGGAATGACTAAAATCGTTAGTTTCTAAGCTTCTCACATTCTTCAAGATATACTGAAAATGTTGTTTAAACTTTGTAAGTTAAACACACATGCTAGAATTTCAAGGATAGTCAAAGAATAGAAAAATAAATCCTAACAGGAAGAAAAAAACTTAAAACTAAAAAAGCAGGCGAGAAAAGAGAAAATTAAATATACAAAAAGCAATGGAAAACCAAAAATATCAAAGTGATGGTAGACACATGTTCAAACATCCTGCAGCAAATGTAAACTAAACTTGCCAATTTTTAAAGGCAGAGGTCATCAGATAAGTTTTTTTTTCTGAGACAGGGTCTCACTGTATATAGCTCTTACCGGCCTTAAACTCACTGTGTAGACCAGGCTGGCCTCAAATGCACAGAGATCCACCTGCCTCAGCCTCCTAAGTGCTGGGATTAAAGGTGTGCATCACCACACCCAGCCTTAGATTAGATTTTTTAAAAAAATATCCAACCATATGCTGTTTTCAAGAGATATAATTAAAACACAAAGGTGTAAAAACTTCTTAAAAGTAAAAAGATAGAAAATTATGCCACACAAACCCCAACAAGAAGAAAAGCTTGTGCTGTTACATTAACAAGGTAATCTAGCAGAATTCCTCTATTATTTAGGAATAGAGAGGAATATTACACATTTACGAGAAATATAACAATTCTTAATTTACGTTAAAAAAGGAAACTATAAGAAGAAAACAGACAACTTCAGTGTCAGAGTTCGTTTTAAAAACTATTGGTAGGTCATAACAAAAACAATCAGTTTAGATAAATACAACTTGAATAAGATAGTTGCTAGTAGACACACATTATCTTGGAAATTCTAACAATATCCAATAATTAGAGGACATACATTATAGAGCACATAGGAAACAATAATAATCATCAATCATGTACTAAGCAATAGAACAAGTCTCAATAAATTTCAGTTATCACATAGACCACATCATCTGAACATAATAGTAGATTTCAATAGTAGAACAAACTTAAAATCCCCCCAAACATTTGGGAACTTAAAAACATACTTCTGTATAATTAATGAGTCAGAGAAGTAATGATAATAGATATGTTGAAGTTATTGGAACTGAACAACAATGCAATTACTACCACATATGATCATGTAGGAAAGTAACATTAGCAGGAAATTTGTAGTTTTTAAATATATAAATTAGAAAACAAGAGAGGCTGAGAGCTAGGCTCAGTGCCTCATGTCTGTAATTGCTGCACCAGGGACACTGTCATGAAACTGAGCTTAGCCTGGACTCAAAGAAACACAAACAGCAAGCAAACAGAAAAAGGGGAAAAAAAAAGACTGAAAATGAACGAGCTTAATATACGGTTTAAGAAATCAGAAAAATAACAGCAGAATAAATCCAAAAAATGTGGAAGGAAGGAGGTCAAAAAAGATAAGAGCAGAAATGAAAGAAATAGAGAACAAAGACACAATACAGAGGAGCAACAAAGCCAAAAGTTGGTTCTTCGTGAAGACTAATAAAATCGACAGGCCTCTGGTGAGATTGATCAAGAAAAAAAGGGACAAGGCACAGATAACCAGTATTAGCAATGAAAAAGGAGACATTGCTACAGATTATATATAGCAGAGAATTTCAAAATGGAACTTCAGGCCAGTGAATTTGAAAACAGACAAAATGGAACAATTCCTAAGAGACTATATCTAAAACTATAACCAAAAGAGACAAAATTAAATTCTCAGTAGTACTATAACTATGGAAGGGACTGAAGCAATACTTAAAACTCTTCTCACCGAAAGAATAAAAATGATAATAGTCTACCGAGTTTTCCAGTGGGGATGTGGACTAGAGATAGGTGAAGAGATACTAATCTCTGCAGCCCTAGGGGAGTCCAGGTAGGACTCAAGGCAGTAAAGAGCCTATGAAGATCACCTGTTTTTAGTGGAGCCTTCTCCGGAGGGATCTTTAGAGGGTGGCCCGGATCACGTGACACGGACCAACAAAGCTCTTTGTAGTCACTGTGAGTGGCGAGCACAGCTCTGGCCCTCAGTGGCTGTTCTGTGGTGAAGGTGCTAAGCAAGGCCAGCGAGGAGCTCTGCCATCTGCACGGCCGCCTCTGGAGCCAGCTTCTGCGTTCTTCTGCTCATTGAGTACGGAGGGCCGGTGGAGCAGTCGGAGGAGTCTGTGTTGCAGTTTCCAAGGAACACCAAGCACAGTGCAAGCTGTAACTGGCTGGGATGGGGTTGGGTGCAGGGGAGCCAAGCTGGGGCTTCTGGAGGGTGTAGTTCCAGGCAGAGACCCTGAAACTCTGTCTTCATGAATATGAGGTACTCCTGATGAGCCCTTTTAATGACGTCCAATCTAGCTGCAGGGTGATGGTTCTAATTGTGGTGGAGGTTCTGCAAATAAGAGCTTCATCATTATTTTGAAATAGTTAATACAAAAGAGATGAGATGGATTTGAAATCTACTCACATTATCATGGAAATTCCAACAATTTATTTGTCAGTGAAACGAAATAAAATCTTTCATTATTTTAGCTGTTAAACATCGTGGAACGATTTAAGAACTGGTTTTAAGTATTTTATCTGCTGTTGGTGAGTGACTGTTAAAGATTTGATGGACACATTATTACAAAGTCTTGGTTAGGATTTGTGTATACCCATTTCAGATATAAACTGTAACATAAAACAAGCTGTGAAAGCACATTTCAAATTTCTCATTTAAAACAGAGAAAAAGGGAGGAGCTGGAGAGATGGCTCAGCTGTTAAGAATACTTGCTGCTCTTGCAGAGGACCTGGGTTCCATTCCCAGTAGCTGCATGACAGCTATAAATCATAACTCTGGTTCCAGAGGATACAACAAACATCTTCTTCTGGCCTCTGCAGGTACTAAGCGTGCACATGGTGTACATGCATACATAATCCTTAATTAATTAATTTTTATTTTATGTTCATTAGTGTTTTGCATATATATGCACCATGTGCATGCTTAGCGCTTGTAGAGGCCAGAAGAGGGAGTTTGGTCCCGAGTTTTTAGCTACCATGTGGTGCTAGGAATTGAACTTGAGTCCTCTAGAAGAGCAACAGTGCTGTTAACTAATGGGCTACCACTCTAGTCCCCATGTATAAATCTTTTAAAAAATGCAAAATTGTTCTAGTATGAGAAAAGTCTATAAATTTAATTGGGCCACATTATCAGGCTATTGGAGACAAAATATATTCATTCTAGGAAACAGAAGAGGTATTTGATTTTAAAAATAGTCCAACACACTTTCATGGTTTAAAACAATAAAAACTTCTTAGTATAGAGAAATAGGATGAAATTTGCTTAACCTGATGAAACCTGTAGAAACCAGATGAGCAATATTGTTCTAAATAAGGAAAACTTAATGTTTCCTCGAAAATATACAATTGAGGAATGCTTTTATAAACTTTCTATTCAAAATTGTACTAGATGTTCTGGACAGCTCATTAAAACAAGAAAAATATATTAAAGGCACAAAAACTAAAAAGGAAAAAATACCTTTCATTATTAATAGTTCACAAGGATGTCAATATAGAAAATACAAAAGAAGCCGGGTCCTGACTGTGCAAGTCTTTAATCCCAGAACTCGGGAGGCAGAGGCAGGCGGATCTCTGTGAGTTTGAGGCCAGTCTGGTTTATAGACCGAGTTCCAGGACAGGCTCCATAACTACACAGAGAAACCCTGTCTTGAAATAAAACAAAACAAAAATATGAGAAAGAAGACATCTTGAGAAATGGCTGAATCAAGGACTGCCTTAGAAAACAGCAAGATGACTCTAGAGTAACTTGTAGTGCAAGAAGGCAAAGAAGTCCTTAAAAACCAAGAATGAGGGGCTGGAGAGATTGTTCAGTGGTTAACAGTGCTTACTGCTTTTGCAAAGTACTAAAATTCAGATCCCAGCATTCATAGCAGGTGAATCACAACAGCCTATGACTCCAGTTCCAGGGGATCCAGCACCCTATATTGAGGCAGAGGCAGAAGCAGGCGGATCTCTGTGAGTTTGAGGCCAGCCTGGACTACAGAGCAAGTTCCAGGACAGCTTCCAAAGCAACAGAGAAACCCTGTCTTGGAAAAAAGACACTTATGCTTTGGACATAGAATCTGTGTGATCTGAGCTGGATCTGCCCTGAAAGCCTCCTTCCTAAGGAGTAACTTCCTTTAGGACTGGAAGGTACCATGCAAGGTTCTAAGGGAGGAAAGCCATCAATAGTCCTACCCAGCTGTGATGCCTATGAACCACAACACTGACAGCATGACAAGATAACCCTAAAGGTGTGATAGTGGCATTCACTATCTTGGTGTAACCAATAACTTTCTAATTGGACTTAAGGCCCACTAAACAGAGGGAAATCATGCCCAATACTAAAAACTACCCACCTTTTTGGAGCCAGTGAGGTCATGGATCTTACAAGAGAACCTCCTCCTACCACTTTACTAAACCAGCATAATTCCTACTGCATTCTAAATACTTATCCTTACGCCCGCAGAGAATTGTACCTCTCACACCTCATCAAAGAAACTTCTCTTTCCAGCACATGGAGAGCATTGTAGAAAACCACAGCCAGTCAAAATACAAAATAAACAAACAACCAAAAAAACTGATCATGGAGTACCCAGCCACAATAGATACATCTACAGCACAACTTGTACAACTAGGGCTCAGGGAACATCATGGCAGAAAGATTCTAAGAGCCAAAGGACTAGAATATCTGCTGTGAGATTGTGTCACCTAGAAATCATATGGTGGCTTCACCCACAAAGTCTCATTAACATGGCTGCCTAAATAAGACCTGAACAAGTACAACACCAATAGACATGTTAACATGGAAGGGGGAAATCATACAGGGCCCCATCCCTAAATAAACAACTATGCAATGACTAAGAAATTCTGAGAATATAGTCTTCCCCAGGGATGAGTCCCCTAATTGGTTATCCCAAACCAATTGGTCAGTCTTGAAATCATATACTTTTAAGTAATACTAAATAGACTGAGTAAATTGTATTCGTGTATTTATGCATATACATAGTTATGTAGGTAACAACAACAAAGAAAAGGAGACCATGAACTTAAGAGGGAGAAATGGTGGGAGAAACATGGGAGGGGTTGGAAGGAGGAAAGGGAACAGGGAATGACATAACTATATATTAATTTCAGAAAAATTAAAATCATTGAAAAAGGGGACCAATAGAGAAATTGTCTTAGGTCAGAGAACACTATGGAAATATGACAAGTAAATACAAGGTAGTATTTTGAACTGGACAATGGTAGGAAAAACTTTTTTTTTGAGACAGGGTTTCTCTGTGTAGCCTTAGCTGTCCTGAAACTTGTTTTGTAGACCAAGTTTGCCACTAACTCAAAGAGATCCGCCTGCCTCTGCCTCTGGAGTGCTGGGATTAAAGGCATGTGCCACCACCACCCAATGACAGATTCTTGTAAGTCTTATATCTAGTTAATAGGGATATATTAATGTTGCTCTCTTAGTTAAAAAAAATCACAGTAAGGTTTAAGAAGTTCCTGTAGCAACTCTCTGCTTACTAACTTTGCTAACTTTTCTGTACAACTTGAATTACTACAAAATGTAAAGTGCAGACATGTAGAATGTAGAGACACATACCTGTAAATTCCAGTACTGGGGGGTTGAGGCAGGAGGATCACAGTTTGAGGTCAGCTTGGGCTTTATAGCAAATTCCAGGTAAACATGGATTGAACAGTGAGACTCTTACCAAAAACCATAACAGCAGCAGCAGCTGCAATAGTTTACAGAGTGAATGATTATACTATCAATACAAATCCATTTCATTTTTACATACCTAGAAACTGGATAAAAAACATACTAAGTGAAAATATCTTGGGTTGGAGGAATAGCTAGGTTTACTACCATGAGGTTTTGACTTTAATACCTCATACCACGAGAATAAAAAAATTCCACCTATTACAGCACAGAAATTCACAAAATATGAAGGGGTAATCTCATAATATACAAAAAGCTTTATATAAAAAATCCTAACACATCAACAGCCATACCACCCTGAACAGGCTGATTTTGTCTAATGTCAGAAGTTAAGCAGAGTTAGGCTTGGTTAGTACTTGGATGGGAAATTGCCTAGGAATTATACTGGATGCTATATGCTTAATACAATTATTTAAAAAAATCTATCACTTAGAAAAACACATGCAAGAATTTATTTAAAATAAAAGAATATGTCAAAGTTATAGCCAAGAAGACTCAACTTAATAAGTATCAAATTATCTTCAAACTGATTTATATAGTCACTGTAATTCCCCAAATCTTATAAACTGCAACAACTGGATTCAAAGGTGTTTTTAAAATAAAAAAAATCTAAAGAAGAGTGGGCATGGTTATACACATCTTTAATCCTAGCATTTGGGAGGTAGAGGCAGGTGGCTAGCCCTGGTGAGGTTATAGAGCTCTAGCTTCACCCCTCAGCATTACAGGGGAAAAATCAGTTTATGGAAAGATACAATAAAGCACAAAGCCACAAATGAAGAGCATGCTGGCTAGTTTTGTGTCAATTTGGCACAGGCTAGAATCATTTGAGAAGGGACCCTCAACTGAGAAAATGTCTCCATAAGCTCAGGCTGCAGGCAAGTCTGTAGGGCATTTTCTTAACGTGCCATTTATGGGGCAGAGACCAGCCATTATGGGTCTCTGGGCTGGTGGTCCTGGGTTCCATAAGAAAGCAGGCTGAGCAAGCCAGGGGAAGCAAGCCAGTCAGCACCCTCCATAACCTCTGTATCAGCTCCTGCCTTCAGGTTCCTGCCCTGTTTGAGTGCCTGTCCTGACTTCCTTCAGTGATGAACAGCAATGTGGAAGTGTAAGTCAAATAATCCCTTTGCTCCCCAACTTGCTTTTGGTCATGGTGTTTTACTGCAGCAATAGTAACCCTGACCAGACAAAGAGAAAAGATTTGACACACACAACCCAACATATTATGAGAATCCAAAGCAAAAGAATTCCTACAAATCAATAAAACTGTTGGGGGAAGAATAGAAAAGGAGAGGGGAAAAAAGATACCTTAATAGAGGGAGCCATTATAGGTTTAAAGAGAAATCTGGTACTAGGGAAATGTCCAAGGATCCACAAGGATGACCCCAACTAAGAATCTAAGCAATAGTCGAGAGGCTACCTTAAATGCCCTTCCCTGATAATGATATTGATGACTACCATCCTAGAGCCTTTATCCATTAGCTGATGGAAGCAGAAGCAGAGATTCAGAGTCAAGCACTGAGCTGAACTCCTGGAATCCAGTTGTAGAGAGGGAGGAGTGATGAGCAAAGAGGTCAAGACCATGCAGGGGAAACCCACAGAAACAGCTGACCTGAACAAGAGGGAGCTCATGGACCCCAGAC